TTATCATTTTATCAAGGTACCAAAATAGCCCGCAGTTGTTTGCTCCCGACAGGTTAATTATGAGGTAAAGTATGTGTGCAGCTAAATAAAAGGTATTGTTGCTAATTCCAAGAATAAGGTAGGGAAAAGGGTAATGTTAAAAATATACAAGCTAATCAAAATATTTTTCATATCTTTATATGGTGAAAGGCAGTGGAGCTTTGCCTAATAGTCACCAAATTAAACTATATTTAGAAGTACATGGCATGTATAGCAACATCCATGTTGTATATAAACCACCTTCTGGATCATAAAGAACAGCTTTTCTTCTCTCTGTAGAAAACTCAGGCTGGGATTCCACCCAGCGAGGAGGGACCGAATACAAAAACTCAGAAACTTTCCATAGCCCTGAAGAGAGTAAGTGCTCAAATAAGTATGTGTCTCGGACATTCCATTTTTCTAACAGTTAATCCTCAACCTAAATAATGGATATATTTACCAAGGGGATCTAAGGCTACAGTGTCAGTGGGATTCCAGTACTGCAAATGCAAAACTCTGGTGGGCTGCCAAAACTTAAGCCATAAAGTTTTCCTGATGAACACAGTTATATTCTGCAGAGTTAATCAGAGAAAGTAGGACTAGAAGGGATCTGAGGAGGTCATTCAGGGCATCCTCCAACCCAGAGGCTGGATCAGCTATACATAAATCAGTAGATGTGTGTCTACTCTGTTTTTAAGAGCTTCCAGGGTTAGATTTTTACACCCTTCTTACGCAGTATGTTCCAGAATTTTCCTGTCTTGGAAGACAGAAATTGTTTCCCAATCCATAATCTCAGTTTGTCTTGCTGCAATTCAAATCACAGTGCTTCATATATTTGCCACTGTGGACACGGAAAACAATTTAATTTCCTTCTTCTTTGCATGTAACTTTTACGTTTTTAAAGATGAATTGTGATGTCTCTCCTCAGTCCTTTTTCCTTCACCGTGATGAAAGTTGTACTACAAAACTACTACATTTCAGAGCACCTGTAGCTTTTGGTGGTGGAGGATCCCTTCATTAGCCATGGATCCCTTCATAAGCAGAGTTTTGCTATGATCATGTAGTCATCACATATAGCCTCTGCAGGGCCAGCAATGTATCTGCTCATGTGCGCCAACCAGTTTCTGTTAATCTCAGAAAATACTTCTGAATTCTGCTTCTTCTTGGGTGGTGGCGAAGGTAGCAGGAACCCACCAAACACGCTACTTGAATGCGCTGTACTACCCACTGTGAGTTCTAGTGGCTAAGAGAGTCGTGCCAGGTTTCATGGTTCTCCTCCTGGTAAAACCAAACTTTCCTACTGGTGAAAATTATTTAGCACATGACCTTCAGCTGATTGCTTTTACCTTCCCCCAGCTCAGATTGCCTACTGGTAAAATCAGGAGGATGGCATGAAGTCAGGATGACTGACAGATGAGAAGTGCTATCTGAGAACAAATGAGTCGTGCTTCTATATATGAACTTATTCTCACTGGGACTGCAGCGACCTCTCTTATTGCTAGGGCCTTCTTGGAATAATCGTCTACCACCTGACTCTTGAAAAAACTAGCAAGTAATAGCGCATTATACCATAGACAAAATTCATCAATGAATGAAATCCATCTCTGATCAGAGCAGTTGCTCATATATGTATATATAAGAAAGGGTAGAGCAGTTAAGAAGAATTCTATCCAGTTTTAATACATCAGTCTGAAGGAAGAGCAATTAACACACCAGTCAATAACTCAATGGCCTATTTATCAAATTAATATTCCTTGTTCAGAAAAGCATACTTCCTCACCTTCTTGTGAAAACTTAATCTACTAGTTTGTGTATAATTTAAGAGTCAAGCAACACTTGCATTGTGCTGTTTGCAGAACCAGGAAAAAGTGGAGAATGAGGTAGTGTTTAATGTTTTCATTAACTCCTTGAGACTTATTCCTGAATTTCTTAGTTTCAAAACTTTTCTACTATTGTAGTGAAATGCTGATCTTTATTTTTAAATCGCACCACCACATAGCTTTCCAAACTGATCTATTTCCAGATTTTCTGTTAATGACTCAGGTAGGGTCAAGATAGCTTTTAAATGCTTGATTGGGGCTCAGTGATTTTTCCAGAATCAGGCCTGAACACAAGGTGTCTCCGTCAGTCAGGGTTGCTATGAGGAAATTCTCTGCTCTTTTGTGTTGCTGCCCTTTAATATAAAAGAGCTTTGAGAATGCTTGCTGCAGCTGCTGAAAATGGCCTGCTGTCATTTTTTTCAAATGGCATTTGAAAAATAGGTTATCATGAAAGATAGACATAAGCTCCTTACCTTTTTTTCTTAAAGAACACATTTCTTGAAGTGGTTTACAAAGCTTAGCCATTTTTCAGCACTCAGCTTTTTACCTTTTTCCCTACTTGGTCTCTTAGCCTTTACTGTATGTAGTTATATTTGGTTCATTTGGTGCAATATAGATTACGCAAGCACAACTCATTTATCTGCATTGGTTCCCAGTTTTCTTCTTTATAGCTTAGCTCATTTTATTTGTCCTTAGGGAATTTCACAAAATTCGTCAGTGAAGTCCTTAATTTTTTTTTTATTTTATTGAAAACTATACCATAGCATTTACTCTGTCCGTATTTAACCTGCCTAAAAATATTTGAATCTAGTAGAGGAATGTCCTGTAGATTTTCAGTTGTTACAGTATGAGAGAAAGGCAAACCAACTGATCTGGAAAAACTCACCACTGCTCATTCAACATTCACACATAAGAAAAAACGGGAACTCTTTAGCCACTTCACGAGGTTTACTGGGCTTTAAGAGCTAAAAATAATTTATATTTTAAAAGAGTTCCAGAAAACAATTTAAGAAATTTCTCAGTATGAGCTCCAAAAAGTTCCTTGTTATACATAATCATGCTTTCTACTTGTTTTGTAAAGTCACAAAACTTCTCTTTTCCCTAAACTGAAGGGAAAATATTAGCAATAATTATTTACAAAATGAATCCTGAAAAGCTTTGCAACTGTGCATGTGGGAGGTTTTGGAGCATCTTCCTCATCTTGGCTGCAGTTATAAACTTAGATCAACTTTTCCTAAAGCTTTATAAGAATTTGACACCCATTTAACGGCTTATTCCATAGAATCACAGGAATTGTCGCTGAATCTTTCATCAAAGAGTATGTAACACTCACAAGACATAGTTGAAGTGCTTCCATTGATTTATCTGTTGGAAATTCATCAAATACAATTCATGGTTTCTTTGATGTTAGACATGATGTACTCTGTACTTCCTGCAATATCAATCAGGATAGATGGAGGATCTCCATCAAATGGAGAGAAGAGGCATTTGTCAAACCCTGCAAATCATTAGCAGCAACAAAGCAATAAGGGACATGGGTTCAACTGACAAGAGTCTTGCACATGGAGAAAAAGTCAGTAACGTGCAGGAGTCATGAAAGAAATACTATGAACCTTGTAATTTAAAACCTCCCTTTTAACCTTAAGGACTAGCATGTTGCTTAGCTCCGAGGCAACAGGTAGAGCTAGTGCTAGATGGCACCGTCCCAAAACACTGCCAGGGAAAGAAATCTATTATTCTGGATTCACAGGATCTTTCCTGACTCCTATTGCCCAAGTGAGGGGAAGGAAGAGTCTCTCCAGATAGCTGATGCCATCTCAGCATCTTATTTTCACTTCTAAGCCAGCTCAGGGACTAGTTGACACACAGAGGAGGGCAGTGGATGTGTGAGGAATGATACATACTTACCTCCCTTTGGCTTTCTTGTGAGCTAAGAAGACTCAGACCCCTATAGTCAGCAGCAGGCCAGCACTGTAATCTACAGACAGCAGTATCTGCTGTGGCACATAGAGCTATTTATCCAAGAAGCTAGGGAGTGCTTTTGCATAGTTTTGAGGCCCAAGCCATGGCCTCTACATTGCTATGAGATGGGAAATATGCCTAGAATCATATCCCTCCCCACTAAGGCATCCTGACAGTCAGAACTGACTCAGCTGCTTTCACAGCCCAGGGAATCTGAAACCACTCCAGTGTGAAAGGTCGCTCTTCTCAGAGATGTGACATTCAGGCTTGAGTGTCACCTTCCATTTGAAAAACACTTCAAATCTAACTCCAGTTCTTGAAATAAGAATTCTCTCCTGAATCCCTGCTCTTTGATTACTTCAGCCAGACACAAAGGTGTTTTCCCAGCTGGATAACTGTTGAATGCCTGTTTTGCTTAAAAAATTTCATACATTCTTTTACAAAGCCCGATTTGCTAAATTTAGCTATCAATTGCTTGTTTTTAATACTAAAAGTACATGAAATTGATTTCCCAGTATGAGTTTTTCATTTGGGCAGCCTCTTTAGGGCAATTATTTGGTTGTGAATGGAAGAGGAATTATTCATAAAATAACCTCTTTGTTTGGGTTACACCATTTTTATGAATGTCTGGGATATTGGAAGTACCACAATTAACTTCAGGTTTCAAGAGGTTTGTACTATCATAATAATCTAGATAAATGGGGTGATGTTTAGGAGCTGCCAGAGAATGTATTGGAAGTTATAAGGTATGTCTGAACACACTCAGTAAGTCTTACTGAGAACAGTTAGATCTTTTTCTTCAAAAATGACATTCAAAAGCTCTTTGAGAAGGCACAGCCGTATTCCATGTGTGCATTGTGCAACAGCTTCAACAATGGAGGTTTGATCTTTCATTGGGATCAATAGATGTTAGTGCAACAGATGTGTACATATAAACACAAGGACTGCTTTTTAATTCTTAATTCTATATTAATTATGATGTGCTCCGTTAGCTTTCAGATGGTGGAAAGGATTTCCTTATTAGCTTTAAAAATAACAAAAATAACATTTTATTACCAAAAGACCAAAAATGAAAGCAACAAGCAATAAGGATTTTTAATAAACAGGTTCTAAGAGTGATCTGATGGGACATTTACCCCTTCCTAAAGGCAGGCAAACCAATTATCTCAGATATTGTCTCTGCTTGTTTCTTCTGGACAGGATCTCTGTTTTCAGCTCTGAAGCCCCCTGAAACGATCTTCAAGGTGATTTTTTGGCTTGGCTACTTTAACAGCTGCTTGAATCCAATCATCTACCCTTGCTCAAGCAAAGAGTTCAAGAGGGCTTTTATACAGATCCTAAAATGCCAGTGCCACCGTCGAAAGCAGCTGGGGTGGTGGGCCTACAGCTACAGGAACTGGAATCGGTGCTCCTTTGAACACCCCAGGAAGGACTCACTGGAAGACAGCGGGAGTTTCCTAAGTGGCAGTCAGAGGACATTATCTTCAGCATCTCCCAGCCCCGGCTACCTGAGCAAAATCACTCACCCACATATGGAGATGTGCACATTTCAGGAATGGAAAAACTCCAGCTCTTTCCTGAGCCCCTTACAGGAAGGCAGCAGACAAAGGGACCCATGCCAGTTCTTTACCTTCAATCTCTTAACAGAGCGCAATGGACACGTTCCTGCTGGCAGCCAAGCTTCCAGCAATGGGGACCATGAGGCCATCTGTGACACACTGAATGGCAAAACTGACTGTAGAGCAAACATGACACTGGAATGAACAGATTCTAAACAGTCTGTTCTCTTTGTACACTAACCTGTTTGACGTTTAGCCCAGGTGAAGAAATGGACCTTTGCACAATTTCTCAGTATAGCACTAGATGGAAGTCAGTGGAGAACAGGCAGATTTATGTCACAAGAGTGGCAAAGTGTAGGGGCTAACCATATTCCCAGTCAATTGCCAGACAGGCTACTGAAACAAGAACAGAATGCAGGGAAGGCGCCGCATAAACCCAGGGAAGTGCACATCCAATTATTTAGCTGTTGTGGAAGTTCTGTGGAACAGCCAAACACATATGTATATAGGAAGACTGTAAAAATATGGGGCTGGGCAGGGGAAATGTGTATGAATGTGTGTGTGTACGTGTGTGCTAGCCGCATGTATGGATGCCTGAGAGTGGAAGTGAGCAATGCAGTGTTGTTTGTATCTCTCCAGGGTACTAGTTGCCGCTGATTTTGCCTGTAAATTCTTATTGTTGTTGTACTTCACTGTACATTGGCACTTTAGAAGTGGAAAACAATGTCAAAGATTAAAGTAATTTCGCAACAATTTAAACACTTGCACCTATTACTATAGGACTGGAATTCAGCCAAGTTTTCACTTCACCATTTTCACTTCAAAATAAAACACTCATAGCGGTTAAGTTTGCCACTGTAACTCCTAGGATGCTCTTGAATCTCTCTGCAGTTGCTTCCCTTCCATGACTCCCTTATCACCAACATACGTAACTCCTCTATCCTTCACCATTTTCTTTTTTGAAAGTTTGAAAATACCAGCAATGATGAGAGCTCACAATCTACATTTCAGCACATTAGTAAGTGTCCTGTAAACATACAGGCTACCAGAGGATCTGATTTCTAAAAGCAACACTCACAAATCACTCCAAATACCTCATAAACAGTGTCGGGGACACAGCACAAAAGAGCACTGACCGCTGGAGGCCCAAAACCCAGCCTTGGGACAAATACGCTGAGCCCTGGGTTCTTTCAGCACACTTTGAAAATAGTATTGCACATCTAGAGGCTTTTACTTTGCCACTCAGATGCAAAAAGAAAGAGTCAAAACAATGGAGTAGTGTAAGTTTCACTGTCATTAGTATTTTTCAGCTCAATAATACAGTACTGCAACACAATTCCTGAGAATATCTTCTAGGACATTTTAGGTCATGTTTGGAAGTTATTTTCATTTCTTGCAATTAAGTGTGAATCGTGAAACTAATGACTGATTTTTTTACACAAAATGGTACAAACCGTGAAAATTGGTATTTACTCCTCCCTCCAACTGAGACTTTCCTTATTAGGCATTTTAGTGACTTTTTTTTAAAGCTTGAAACAGAGAATGAACCATAAACAGATGTACTAAAACCACTTAGGGACAATTTAACAATGCTAGGTCCCAAGGGAGAGCCATTTCCTTTTGTTTCCTTAAATGTGTATTCTCTCATTAAGTTGACAGGGATGGATGTGGCTTGTGGTTAGATGAAATATCCCCCAGCTCAGTAAGCAACGATAGGAAAGTGATGTTCCGAGGTCTTCCCATGGTCGTATGTTATAATAAGAACCACAGAACTATATTTTGAGTCTTATCCTGATTGAAGTTATGGTCAATCTCCTATTTCAATAATTCCATTCTGATTGTGGGGAAGGCCGTAATTTCCTCTTAAAAGAACAATCCTTATAAAATTTAAAAGTAATAAAACAGATAAACAAACTCTTGTTGCTCATATATTGAGGTTGCCATAAAGGCTATTCTATCTAGCTGTGATATACTAGTATGAAGCTGTCCCTTCATACTAGCTGGGCCTCTAAATGGCAGAGAACTGTAGTTCTAAGTTATTGTTATAATTTTTGGAGGGAACCTACAGTAGTCTGTCAACCACTTTTGGGTATTGTAAATCTTCTTCAAAATTACTGTTAATTGGAAATAAATTCGTTTACCACCTGACAGCACACTTCAGTTAAATTTTGAGTCACACATGACTTGTATAGTGTAAATTAATCCAAGTAATGTTATCCATATTTGAGAATTTCTAAGTGATACTGCAAACTTTCAGAATAAACAGCATTCCATTACTCTAAAGCCTTTAACTATGTAGCTCTCAGAGACTGATCATTCTTTTAATTAGTTTCTAGTCCTAACAAAGGCTGTGTGACCTCTAATTATCATTTAAGCTCTTTAAACAATGACAGAATTCTCTAATTACCTATGAAATCAGATGGGCTTTTATCCCATACTGAAGTGACCTAGGAGTACTTATCATCTTTGTACATTTTTACATGTAATGTTACAAAAACTGCAAGGAAAGTTCCCTTACTGCTTTTTTTAAATTTATAAAAAGAGAATTTCAGCCATTTTAGTACTGAAAAAACAGCTTTCTCTAAACACTGTAATTGGTCAGGAGAAGATATGCGTTATCATCATGCTAGTCCATGCCATTTAGAATATCCAGTGCCTCTAACCTTATGAATCATATACGAAAATCCTCAGAGAGCCAAAAACCCCAAAACATATTTCCCATAAGCCTTAAAGAGGCGAGGAGAGAAGGCATTCCACAGGCAGACAGTAATATTTTTCCCCAAGAGTTACATTGCTCTTCTGTAAGTTTGAGCTGAGAAGGCTGCTGGACTCTGCAGGGACAGCAACACAGACTCACCCATCCCTGCTAGCTTGCTTTCTCTCACAGCCAGCCACAGCACTGCTGCTCTTCCCGTGTCCTACCTAGCGTGGGAGGCACATTTGAACTGCATGCAAAACATATGTGGCTCAAGAGCCACAGGATCTCTACCCTTTAGTGCTTCCCTTCCTCAAGCCCAAGTCTTGCAAGTATGTCAAGGGCAACCTCCCTGGGGACATGACTAGGTTATGCTGCCTTGCCAAGAAAACAGGAAACTAAGAGAAGGTCTGCTTCGGGATTTCTGATACCAGGGGAAACAAGAAGGGGAAAAAAGTTTCTTCACCATGTTGAAGTTGGAAAACAAGAAGTTGGAAATAATCACAGGCAATCAAAATAAATATACTCTGCCATTTCTAAGACAAACATTTACATCAGGCCCATTTTTCTTAGCATATTCATTAGGCCACATCTTAAGGGATCATCTCATACAATACCTAGCATCATACAGATGAAGGAATGACAAACTGTAAGCTCCAGCACAGCAGCCATGGGTAACAGAAAGAAGTGAGAACAAGTTCAGGCAATACTTGATATATACTTCAGATATAATTTTAACAAACCGTGTCTCATTCTTAATCACTACCCAATTAAATTTCAAGACTGGAGAGCCTACAACTTGTAACCGTAACAAATATAAGATGGAAGGGTTCCTAATATTTCTCCAAAATACATTTCTCTTCTCCAAGCTTTTTTCCAGGTCATATACATATCTTGCCATGCCAGGCTCTCCATAGCCATGCATGATACTACATGACTTCCCAAAAACAAATAGATGACTGCTCTTCTTCTAAGCTTTTTAGTTTTTGTCTCATTAATTCCCATTTTTGTAGGGTCCCATACAGCCTGTTCTTATACTAAGCAACACTGTACCAGTGGGGACCCATCCATGCAAATATGCTAAACTATGTAAGACCTTAAAAGAGTCATGTCACATCTTTTCATAAGCTGCCAACAACACCTACTTCATCTCCAGCCACAACTTCAATGAAGGTACAGGCAATAAAACTGATTGTAAAAATGGAAAAAAAAAAAAACCCATGGATCTGAAGGAGGGACCACAAAGATTACAGAGGAGAAAGTCTGATATGCCATCTTAAAATATGAAACCCTTGCAAGGCCACCTGACTCCTCTAGAACAAACCTATTCTACATGTCTTCATTTTTACCACTGGAATCTTCTACGACCTCCACGAGACACAACCAGCCCAAATGAGGCCATACAAATCACCCTCTTCCCTTTGTTAGTCCTTCATTTGTTGCAATGTTTTCCTTTAAAGGAAAAACTATTTGGGTCAGGGCATCATCATTAAACCTTGTGAGACAAGCCCATATTAGCCCATTTTTTTAGTACAGCCAAAATTAATTTGACAAGCAGAACATCCACAATCTAGTGAAATGGCAATTGGCAAATGATGGTGGTCTATCAGATGCCTCTATACCCCATCATGAATATTTTTAATGCATATTAACAGACATTCTGATGAACCCATTTTGTGGGCAAATAGATTTGCCTCCGAAGAGGAGTTGCTGCCATTTAGCACAGAAAGTGTTCATAAAACACTGTGAATTTCTCCAGGTTAAGCTACTGTGTGGAGCTTAATCACGAACTAGGGGCTTGTACAAAGCCATTCAGTTGAGAGGCACAGCTGGAATGGCTCACAGAGTATTGTTACAGCCCAGCTGCACATAAATTAAACCCATTAGGCTTCAATGCAGTCAGCTATCACAAGTGCTTCTTAGTTTTGAAAAGAGTTATGGTAAAATCAATCCAACTGAATGAGACTGAAACTCTACATTCCTTACTCTTTGGAAATGCAGTTTTCTATTATCCTTCCAAATGTGACAGGGAGAAAAGAGGGGACATTAATATTATAAAGTGCAGTTCTAGTTTGGAAAATGTAAAAATAGCAACTTTCTATTCAACAGATGTGCTCTCTGCTCTGTTTCTGTGCTTGACTTTCACCTGATACAAACGAGCATAAAAGATGTATGTAGGAGACATAATCCACAGCAGCTATGGTAGGAAAGTATTGGTATACTAACAACTGCTTATTCCTGTTAGTGGCCACAAACTAAACAGCTCATTCCCACGAGAATAAACTGAAATCTGTTTTAATACACTCAACAACAGATATGCTTACCTTTTTTCCAAACCATGCTGGCAATGCTATGGCTCACACACTTCATAGGGCAGAACATGGTATCGCAGGGATGATGCATCAGACAAAGAAACATCACTTTCATCCTGAAGTGGTCAAAAGGAAATACTTCAGAATACGAAGACACATCATGCTAGTTTAAGTCACTTTAATGGAACCAAAAAATGTTTCTGCCCACTATGACTTTTTTGGGACTGGAAGGGGTACTAGTTACCTTCCTCGTGAAGCATGTTATTTGTGCAAAAGGTAAGTCGTGATTCCCACGATCAGTAAGAACACCTGAAGCGGTAACATAGTGGTCAG